TTAGTATTTGCTATCAGCATATAATGATTGGATGGCTCGTAGCAACTGGCCATCGGTCTCATATGTTCGAAGGCACGCCCATAGATTTTCGCGTGGGATCCGGTCATACACTTTCTCAGGGTCCACAGAGCACGTTTATACCGCATGAGCGAACTCTCAACAATCTGGCTTTAGGCGAAGATCTAAAAATTTGTGCGTTGCCTTACACAAAGCGGCACTGCTCTTTTTGTCCGAGAGTCTCGTCTCTCATGTCTTGGGGTCAGTTATTCTGCAGCATCTTTTTTCGACAGCTTATTCAAAAAAATTTTTATGCAGTTGCTTGTAATGCAACTAATTGAGATGGTTAATTTCAGGGTCTCTACGAGTTCATTCCTGCCAACGGAAGTACGTTGGTCAGCGGAAAGGGCCTCTTGGAATATGTACTTTCGTCGCATCCGCGCCTTCTGCACCGTTTCATTGAATTATGTAATGAGCGCGATCTGCTTTTTGAGGTCAGTCTTTATGCTTGCATTAATGTAACATTTTTAATTTCTGATTCTCTTAAATCTGTTTAAATTCGTTTGTTTCATACCGTCGTCAGATTTTGCTGAGTGAGAGAAAGAACTTTCGTTCGACACCAGTTTTTCTTCGCACAGCTTCAGTCGGTCGGTCAATCAGTTCTCTTGGTAGAAAAATACATATAAAGGTTTTTTTCTTGAATAGAATTACCAAAGAATCTTGCTTTTGGACATTGGTCAAAAATGACATACGTGTGAAACTAACTAGCAAAAGGGAACAAAACCGCCTTTGCCTACATAGTAAACGAAAGACACATGGAATACCATAAAACCAAACCGCTTCTATCATTCAGTTCCGTGCAAGCATTCTGAAATCTTAAGCGAGAGCGTCGGCTAAATTGCTAAGTTGGACGTACAAAATTTTGGGCTGTACAGACGACCCAGAAGAGCAACACAGCGGTGGCAGCCCACGCTATTCGATTGGACCTTGGATATGAACAACGGTGGTTATTTCCAGAGCAAAACAGCTAGAGTTAAGAATCAAAACTATCCAATTGCCAGTAGATAACAGGCAAAATTAACAATGAATTCGTTTACCCTCGGCAGGTCCCAGGAATAGGCTACATGCGATAAATTGCTTCGGCTTTTAAGTTCTGTGAAAAGTTGACGAAA